GCCTGGTTCTACGAGGATAGCCTGGCCCTCCTGGCAAATGTTCATTCTCAGGGGATCAGAGTGGGGTGGGGACCCTCTCACCTCTCTGGAATGGGGGTTTTGTGACCTACAGTCAAACAAGGTAGTTTGGATAATTTCTTTATAGCCAGGTTTTACACAGGAAGGCAGGGTAAACTTAGAGTAATAATTTGGGGTTTTATGACTGGCTTCAGGGAGAAAGAGTTCTGGTTTCCATGAACCACTGTGGAGAAGAGTAATTCTAGTTTCTCTGGGTAACCTCTGGGGAAAATGAGGGGCCAGAGACAGGGGGCGGAAGAGTGTCAGAGAGAGTTGCCAAGGCCTTCATTTTGGGGTTTTTCTCTGAGCCCCAACCAGGGTCTGGGAAGGCTTTCCATGACCTTTGGTCTGGGATATGTCGCTACCTATATGTCCCAGAGGACCCTGTGCTTCCCAGGCCAATACATTCATCAGGATTTAGCACCATTACTTATGTTCGGGGTGTTCATTTACAATGACCAACTTCTGCAAGAATAAAACCCCTTCTTTTTTTCTTTAAATCTAGCCTTACCTAATCCTGACATCCTATTCTGCCAGGCTGATGAGAACTCCAGATTAATGCATTTGGGGAACCCCCTTCCCAAGGGTCCAGGGTCATCTGAGGGTGGTCTTCGACAGAGATTTTGGAGGAGAACATCCAGGCCTCGCTGCTCACTGCTGATTAGCTCACGGGGAATCTCAGTCAGCAAGGGAACCTCCCTCCCCCCGCCTGTACACGACACCAGCATCATTTCCTCAGGGAGCCTAAGCTTTCACAAGGCAGAAGATGTCTGTCCCCCAGCAATCCTTCCCGAGGTGAAGGCCTGCTGGGTCTGTCCCGAAGACCCTGACTGACTGACAGATGAAATGAGCACTCAGACACAGGTACACAGTGTGAGAGCAGCGAACTGACTGCCTGGCTCTAGCGGCCAGAGAGGCAGCCCCGAGAAGCTGGAGCTGCTGCTTGCTTTTATTCAGTGTAGGCACAATGCCAAAACCTGGAGCAAACACAACCTGCAGGTAATTCACATCCACTATCCAGGGAACTTCACCTGCGGAGGATCACAGGTCAGTTCCTGGTCAGGTAAGTAAACAAGCCCATTTAAGATACATTCCTCTGCGTTCCCTGGTACCTACCTATTCCTTGCCCTCTGCCTCAGGGATTGAGAACAGCTGCCTTCAGCTACTCTTCCCCCGGGGCTCTGCAGAACTTTTCAACCTTTCAGAAGCTTCAGAAAGTTCCACATAGTTTTTCCCAACACTGACCGACAGCCACAAAGGACAACAAACGCTGGGTCTGATGAAACATCAAAGCACAAATAGCAGCCTTTCTTCTGCTTATGCACAGCCAGGAAAAGAAAGAGCACAGTGACTAACTGGCCTTCCACTCCAGCTTAGCCTAAGTCAGCCTTCTTCATGAACCCTGCCCGCCTCCTTCCCCTCCGCAGCCCGAGGCGTCGCAGCACGGGCAACTTCAAAGGCGCACCTCCGATGGAATGATGGCGGAGCGAGTCTCCGGAGCAAGTAACGTGGCCTTTTGGGTGGGTGTGAGTTTGGGCCCTTGGAAGATGTGGGTTTATAGCTCAAGTTAGGAGCCAAATATTAAATAACAGGTAATAGTTCTTTTTTGCCTGTTGGGCAAGCTTTTAACTCTGTGCCCATTCAGGTTCTTTGGTCACTCAATACTGTTTTTGTGTTTCTTTCTTTTTGTTTTTGGAAACGGAGTCTCACTCTGTCGCCCAGGCTGGAGTGCAGCGGTGGCAGTAGCGTAATCTTGGCTCACTGCGGCCTCTGCCTCACAGGTTCAAGCGATTCTCGAGCCTCCGCCTCCTGAGTAGCTGGGATCACAGGCCTGTGCCACCACAGCTGGTTAATTTTTGTATTTTTAGTAGAGATGGGGTTTTACCATTTTTTTTAGAGGTGATTATTTCTTAAGCATGAAGTGCTTTCCCCCCAGCGTGTACAAGCCAGATCTGGCCTGCCTCCCTGACTCACTTCCTAGCGCTGGCCACACACTCTACATTTCAGCGACCCTGGCTCCCTTCCTGCTTCTCACACAGTTCAAGCTGCCTCCAGTCCAGGGCCTGTTTTCTCGCTTTTATTCCTTCCTGCGACCGTCCCTCCAGATCTCAGTGATGGCCTGTTTTCCATCTTAGCTTCAATGTCATGTCCTGAGACAGACTTCCGGACCACGTTATCTAAAGCATCCCACCCACCATCATGCCTCTCAATCACTTTATCTAGTTTTTTCAGAGGTTTCCGAACCAGAGCAACTCCATCTTGAATCGGGGCTGGGTAAAATGAGGTTAAGACCTACTGGGCTGCATTCACAGATGGTGAACGCAATTCTAAGTCACAGAATGAGGTAGGGGGTTGGCCCAAGATACAAGGTGATAAAGACCCTGCTGATAAAACAGGTTGCAGTAAAGAAGCCGGCCAAGACCCACCAAATCCAATATGGCAGCAAGAGTGACCTCTGATTGTCCTCACTGCTGCACTCCCACCGGCGCCATGAGAGTTTACAAATCCCATGGCAACATCAGGAAGTTACCCTATATGCTCTGGAAAGGGGAGGCATGAATAATCCAGCCCTTGTTTAGCAATATCATCAAGAAATAACCATAAACATGGGCAACTAAGACCAAACTTGGAATCCTAGCATTCTGGGAGGCTGAGGTGGGAGGATCACCTGAGGTTAGGAGTTCAAGATCACCCTGGCTAACATGGCGAAACCCTGTCTCTACTAAAAATGTAAAAATTAGCCAGGTGTGGTGGTGCATGCCTATAACCCCAGCTACTCAGAAGCTAAGGCAGGCGAATCGCTGGAACCCGGGAGGCAGAGGCTGCAGTGAGCCGAGATCCCATCACTGCACTGCAGCCTGGACGAAAGAGTGAAACTCCATCTCAAAAAAAAAAAAAAAAGGGGGGGGGGGCTGCTCTATGGAGCAGCCATTCTTTCATTCCTTTATTTTCTTACTAAACTTGCTTTCACTTTAAGGACTCGCCCTAAGTTCGTTCTTGCATGAGATCCAAGAATCCTCTCTTGGAGTCCGGATTGGGACCCCTTTCCGGTAACAGTTTTGCTTTTTCATTTTTTTGAGTCTCAATCTGCCACCCAGGCTGGAGTTCAATGGTGCAATGTCACTTCACTGCAGCCTCAACCTCCTGGGCTCAAACCTCCTCCTACCTCAGTCTCCTGAGTAGCTGGGGCCACAGGCACACACAACCACGCCAGCTAATTTTTTAATTACTTTTTGTAGAGATGAGGCTTTCGCCATGTTGCCCAGGCTGGTCTTCAACTCCTGGGCTCAAGCGATCCTCTATCTCAGCATCCCAAAGTGCTGGGATCATAGGCTTGAGCCCCCGCACCTGGCTTGGGTGGTGGTGGTGGTGGTGGTGGTTGAGATGGAGTCTCACTCTGTTGCCCAGGCAGGAGTGCAGTGGTGCAGTGGCGAGATTCGGGCTCAGTCAACTCACTGCAACCTCGTCCTTCCATGTTCAAACAATTCTCCTGCCTCTGCCTTCTAATTTTGCTTTCTTAATAATACCAATTCCTGTATAAAATCACCTCCTTCATTCCTCTGCTGCACTGAGATGTGGTCCATCCAACAGAGCCAGGACCACAAAGGGTTCCTCACTGCTCGACGCAAGCAGAGCATCACTGACATACGTAGTAGAAACCTGCGCCATGAAACCGGAATGTAAATTTTCCGGCAAACGTCAGAAAACTGATGTCGCCCCTCTTGGTCATTTCTGCTTATGATCTTTAGGATAAACTAGCTGAAAGAACATTAAAATGTTGGTGGAGTCTCAACTGCTCATTTTAATGATGAAGAGCCCAGGCATGGTGGCTCAGGCCTGTCAACCCAGCACTGTGGGAGGCTGAGGCAGGTGGATCACCTGAAGTCAGGAGTTTCAGACGAGACTGCCTGGCCGACATGGTGAAACCCCATCTCTAGTAAAAATGTAAAAACTAGCCAGGTGTGGTGGTGCGCCCCTGTAGTCCCAGCTACTCGGGAGACTGAGGAAGGAGAATCACTTGAACCTGGAAGGCGGAGGTTGCAGTGAGCCGAGATTGCATCACTGCACTGCGGCCTGGGCAACAGGAGACTCCATTTAAAAAAAAGACTGATGAAGAAACAGGCCCACAAAGGGGGAGTAAATCGGGAAATGTCATGAAGCAAGTCGGTTTTTCTTAAGACACACACACACACACGAGCGGCTTCTGTTAAGCTGCGGACTGTAATCCTGGCACTTCCCAGGCTTCGCCTCCCGAACGTGTTTATCCGGCTAATACAGGCCCAGCGCCCGCGGGGCGGGCGGGAGGCGGCAGGATTAACGCGGCAGCTCCCTCCCCGGGCCCCGGGGCTCGCGTTCCACTCACCAGAACACACATCAACGAGTAAATAAATAACGCAAGATAACGGCAGAAAAGGATGGGTGTGAAGGAGCTGACCTGCCGGGAAGACGGGAATAGAACAGAGAGGTCGGAGGCGAGGAGGGGCAGCGCTTCGCCGGGCAGGACCCCGGACGCCGGCACACAGCCGAGCCCAAACCGCGAGGGCAGGGCTGGCACCGCCGCCCCGGCCTGGAAACGCGTTCCCGCCCGCAGCCCCGCGAGCCCCGCTCCGCATCCCTGCGGATCCCGCCCCGCCCGCGTCTGCAGCGAGGCCTTCCCGGGCGCTCCGCGGGCCGCCCCGCGCCTGTGCACCTGCTCGGGCTCCACCGGGAAGTGCGAGGCCGCCGCGCCGGCCGCTCCGAGACCCCGGGACACGCGCGCCCGGCGGGAGGCACCGGCCCCGCGCGCCCGGCAGGGGCACCGGCCCGTCCGTTTGCGCGCGCGCCTCGGGGAGGCCCCGGCGCTGCTGGAGGGGGCCTGGCCGGGCGCCCAGCTTCCCCGGCCCCCGCTTCCCGCACCACCGCCCTCCCCCCCCGGCTTCGCAGGGCTCTGCGCCCGCACCTACCGGACGCGCTGGGCCGTGACCGCGTTCCCCGTGTGCGGCCGCAGCACCGCCAGGAACAGGAGCCGCATGCCGCCGCCGCCGGGACATTGACCAGGCCCCAGGGACGGCACAGACGCAGATGGCAGGGGAGCCGGGCGGCTAGGTCTGTCCCGCCCGCCCCTCCCGGAGGCCGCGCCGGAACTCGCAGGTTCCGGCGTCAGGCGGGGAGGAAGACGGGAACCCGGGGCCTCTGGCGGCGCGAGCTCCGGGTGCGGGGTAGCGCGGGTGTGTGCCCCGTGGGGTCCATCACCAGGGTAGCTGCGGTCCGCTCCCACCTGGACCAGGATAAGCGGTGACCACAGTCCCTTCCCACGGGGACCAGGACCAGCGCTGACCACGGGCCTTTCCCATGGTGAACTAGGCCTGGCAGGGACCACGGTCCCTCCTATGAAGACAAGGACCAGTGGTGAACACAGACCATTCCCACAGGGACCAGGACCAGTGGTGACCACTGTCCCTTCCCATAGTGACCAGGATCAGGAATGACCACGGTGCCTTCCCATAGTGACCAGGATCAGGAATGGCCATGGTCCCTTCCATGGGGACCGGGACCAGCAGTGACTGCAGTCCCTTCCATGGGGACCAGGACCAGGGATGACCACTGTCCCTTCCCACGGGGACCAAGGATGACCACGGTCTCCCCCATGATGACCAGAACCAGCGGTCCCTTTCCATGGAAACCAGCAATGGCCATGAGTGATCTTCACGGAGCACCCGGGTGGCTGCAAGTCTGTGCCCACCAGGACTAGCAGAGACCTTGGATTCCCTGCCACAGGGTGCTGCAGAGAGAGCTCTCAGCCTCATTTTCCATGACAACCTGAGGGGAGCCTTGGTCCCCACGAAGCCCAGGAATCCTTTCTAGTCCCAAATTCCTTCCCAGGCCAGACTACCCTAAAACTAACCAGAGGAGGGGAACTCCTCCTGTGTGAGCAGACTGTGGAAACCCATTTCAGGGCCACACCTGTGGGTGAGAAAGATGTTGGATCGGGAACTCAGGGCTCATCAGGGCACATGGGCTGCACCTGGACTGGATCTCCAAAGCAGGACACCTTGGATGAGAGAAATGGGGAACTGAAGGTGACCCCTGGCAAAATGCCATCTGTAGATTTAAACACGGACCCCCCCCCCAAAAAAAAAAAAAAACAGATGCTAAGTGTTTACAGAGATGCATGTGTATTTACAGACGTGGAACATTCCAATGAGTGCCCAATATTTTAATTTACCTTCAGACTTGATTTTCTCTCATCCCCCAAATATCTTCCAGCCTCAAAAAGGGAAAGTAGGAATGAAGAAAGCCATGACACGTGATGACCACCATCAGTGGGAGGTCTCTGGCCTCACAAAACATAAAGGTCCATCCTGAAGGACACATCGGCTCTGCAGGCCTTCTCCCAGTTAGAGCCACCACTCTGACTGTCAGTGTGGCATGGAGTATGGGAGAGTTTTATGGCACTGTAGAACAATCAAAATTCTGTCCCCTTCAGTCCTCAAAATCCTGGATTTTGCTCTTCTTCCTGGTATTTCAGCTTCCCAGGCACCTGGCAGGCAGGCCACCTCCTCTTTTAAGGACAAAAGCAATATGAAAATAATATCATTCTGCTAGACAACTTAACACTTTTCAACAGAATTACACAAAGAAATAAGAAAGGGGACAAGTTGCGCAGAACTGCCACAACCCCCTTCTGATGAAAGTTTGGAAAAAGAGTTTTGACACCGGGCGTGGTGGCTCACGCCTATAATTCCAGCACTTTGGGAGGCCTAGGTGGGTAGATCATTTGAGACCAAGAGTTGAAGAGCAGTCTGGCCAAGATGGCGAAACCCCATCTATACCAAAAATACAAAAATTAGCTGGGCGTGGTCATACACGCTAGTAGTCCTAGGTACTTGGGAGGCTGAGGCATGAGAATCATTTGAACCTGTGAGGCGGGGGTTGCCGTGGACTGTGATCATGCCACTGCACTCCAGCCTCGAAATAAAGCGAGACTCAGTCATAAATAAATAAATGGTTTTGAGTGGACTCCTGATATATTTGCTATATACCAAGAAGAGGCAATAAAATGCAGTGTCTGGTGTGGGGTGCAGAAGTACAGGGCTGACACTTGTCCGTGTTCTTCCCCTATTTCACCTTGACCATGGGATATTAAAAGCTAAATGTGAACAGATATAGTTCTGATTTTCAAAGGTGACTTTAGCATGAGCCTGGAAAGGAACCTCCCTAAGCAGAATTGGTGAGCTGGCAGCCCCTGTGAACTAAATATCATCCTTAGAAATATTTAGGCTACACTGTGCTTTTTGGTTTGTTTTGTTTTGTTTTGATTTTTTAAGCTGAGCGATTTCTTTTTGTTTTGAGACGGTCTCACTGTCATCCAGGCTGGGGTGCTGTGGTGTGATTATGGATCACTGCAGCCTCCCCCTCCTGGGCTCAGGTAATCCTTCCTCAGCCTCCCAAGTAGCTGGAACCATAGATGTGCATCACAATGCTGGGCTAATGTTTTGTATTTTTGTGGAAGTGGGGTATCATTATGTTGTCCAGGCTGGTCTTGAACTCCTGGGCTCAAGCAGTCCACCCACCTTGGCCTCCCAGAGTGCTAGAATTACAGGCATGAGTCACTATACCTGGCCAAGCCTTTTTAAACTGGGAGCTTTTATATAGAAGTTGGAATTTCTGGTATCTGTTGACAAATGAGAGATCTGATTAAAGGAAGCCACCATGCCTATGGCTGACTGAAGTTAGGAAGCAGCTGCTCACTTTACATGAAATCCAAGCACACGGTGGCTGAAGGCTCACTTCAATTCCTTGATAACCTCGATCTGTATTTTTGTTTTCTTTTTTTCCCTTTTTTTTTTTTAGACGGAGTTTCACTCCTGTTTTGCCCAGGCTGGAGTACAATGGGACGATCTCGGCTCACTGCAACCTCTTCCTCCTGGGTTCAAGCAATTCTCCTGCCTTAGTCTCCCAAGTAGCTGGGATTACAGGCACGCGCCAACACACCCACATAATTTTGTATTTTTAGCAGAGATGGGCTTTCTCCATGTGGGTCAGGCTGGTCTCAAACTCTTAACCTTAGGTGATCTGCCCACCTTGGCCTCCGAAAGTGCTAGGATTACAGGTATGAACCACCACGCCCAGCTCAATCTCTATTCTTTTTTTTTTTTTTTTTTCTTTTTGAGACAGAGTCTCACTCTGCAGCCCAGGCTGGAGTGCAGTGGCATGATCTCAGCTCACTGCAACCTCTGCCTCCTGGGTTCAAGCAATTCAAGCCACCATGTCCAGCTACTTTTTATATTTTTAGTAGAGACAGGGGTTTCACCATCTTGGCCAGGCTGGTCTTGAACTCCTGACCTCGTGATCCACCTGCCTCAGCCTTCCAAAGTGCTGGGATTACAGGCGTGAGCCACCGCGCCCAGTCTTCTATGTGTATTCTTTTTAGAAAAAAAAAAAATGAAGTTTATTTTTAATGTAAAGTAAGTTTGGAAGTACATGGCCCAAGCCTAAAACAGTAGCTGCACCATCAACAGCAACCCAGACATCCCTCTGTTTACCCTATCATGTGTTTGCCTTCTAGTCTCAAGATCACCTTAAAGTACTGTAGGACTGCTGCAGCTCCACCCATCACGTCTACATTCTAGGCAGCAGGGAGGAAAGGCAAAAGGGGTGCACTCCAAATGGTGTATTTCATCTTAAAGGGGCTTCCTAAAAATGCAAACAGCTCCATGCCTTTATCGTATTGACCACGTGACCACTTCTTGCACCCAAGGATGCTGAGAGATACAGTCTATTAACTGGGCACATGGCCACCTAAATACAATTGTGGTTACTAAAGAAAAGTGGCAGATAGGTTTGCAGTAAGTCACCTCTGCCGTAGCAATCTAAATTAATAAATTAAAAGAGGAAGTGGCAGAGGCGTTTGAACCAGAGCAACTCCATCTTGAACAGGAGCTGGGTAAGAGGAGGCTGAGAGCTGCTGGGCTGCAATCCCAGGTGAAGGCATTCTAAGTCACAGGATGAGACAGGAGGTCTCTGCATGACAGTTTGCGAATGCCATGGCAGTGTTAGGAAGTTACTCTATACGGTCTAAAAAGAGGAGACAGGAACAATCCACCCTTGTTTAGCGTATCATCAAGAAACAACCATAAAAATGGACAACCAGCAGCCCTCAGGGCTCCTCTGTCTATGGAGCAGCCATTCTTTTACTCCTTTACTTTCTTAATAACCTTGCTTTCACTTTATGAACTTGCCCTGAAATCTTTCCTGTGTAAGATCCAAGAACCCTCTCAGGGTCTGCAATGGGACCCCTTTCCGGTAACAGAAACACATATGACCTTCTCAATGGTGGAATAAGAACATTCAGTATGATTCAATACTCATTCTTGATGATACAAAAGAAGTAATAAAAGCAAGAAGAAAGAAAAGAACAAGGGAAGGAAGGAGGGATGGGGAGGGAGGGAGAAGGAGGGAGGAAGGGAAAGAAGGAAGGAAGGAATTAATTCAGTAATAGAAGAAACTACAAAGAACCTTACAAACTCTTGTTTTGTTTTGTTTTTTAATTCTTGCAGGTAAAAATTGCCTGAGTCTGTGGTTCTCTCTTTTCTAGTCTCTCTACAGCTTAGGACTGGTTGAACCAGATGCAGAACTTTTCTCTGGAGGACTTTCGGAAATTTGGGAGTGGAGAAGGAAATTTGTTGTCAGAATGACTGAGGAATGTCATCAATATTTCACAACCAGGCCTGGAAATTTTTAACACCTTGCAGTGTATAGTACATCCCTGCCTAAAGAAAAAATGCTGTTCCCCAAATGCCAGTAGATACCTGTATTAGTTAAGGTTTTCCAGGGAAACAGAACTAATGGGAGATTTATATGCATAAATGGAAATTTATTATGAGGCATCGGCTCATGTAATCATGAAGGCTGAGATATACCATGATCTTCTGTCTGCCACACAAAGGCCCAGGAAAGCTGGTGGTGTCATTCAGGTCCAGTCTTAAGGCCTGAGCAATGATGTAAGACCCAGTTTGGGGGAGGAGGGGGCATGGTGGGAGTGGTTGCTGAGAAAATGCCATGAAATGTGCCTGCTTGAGCAGTGAGGCAGTGGGGAAACGGAGGGCGGTGGGATGGGGAGCAAATTCCTCGTTCCTCCATTTTTTT